TCTGCAGCAGCAGCAACAAAGCTTATTTGTCAGCCCTGATATAATATTGTGGGAACAGGAGGCTAGATACTAACTTCACACTTGAAAGGAAGCAAAACTCTGGGTGGGGAAAGCATGGATCCAGCTCTGATGTGAAAATGCTGTGGTGGCCTGTTTGAATCCCTTGAATTCACCAGGCATTCAGCCCTTTTGTGTGATATGTATGGAAGCTCAAGAAACATCTGCTGCCTCTTTTATTGCTCACAAAGAACCTAGAGGCCCAGCTTGACAACCTAATTAATGTACATGGGAGACATTTGACTGAATTACTTTCAAAAGCAATATCTTGAAAAGTCAGGGCTCTCTTTGTATGTCCTGAATTGTGTTCTTTGCAAGGCATACAGATGCTTTTGGATTTTTTATCACCTCCTGGTCTTTAGCTAACCCTTACCTTTCAGTCAAATTCAGTCTAGGGCTTTGTTCAGGTCCTGCCACAATAGAAAGTACATTCCATGCTGTCTTTCACTGGAGAAGAGTTTCTGGTGTCTTAACAATGTGGTTTCCATATATTTTAGTTGTTAAGTCTGAGCAGGCTAGTGAATGGCCAGTCAAGTAGATTATTTACTTTTAGCATATGTTTGCACATGCCTATATTTAGCACCCATCATAACCTGGTTTCAGATTGTATCTGACAATGAAGTCTATATTCATCTCTTAAAACTGAATCCATTGTCTCCTACATAACATTATAAAACCTGACCAAAGGAAACTTGTCTTTTGAATCCAAGCATGTAAATGACGCACTATTTCATAAACTGAATTTATTATTGTGCAAATTATATAGACTCTGACAGCTAAGCAACAAACTTTTACTTCCTCTGTCATAGAGAAAGCATTTCTTTGTGGTAATACTAGTCCTGGGTTTCAAGAAGTTATGGACACTTTGTCTTCAGACCAGTAATGTTGGTGGCCTTACAAGTGAATACAGAACCAAACATAAATTCTTGATTTCATAATCATTCTCCTAACTTGATATAGATGCTGGAGAAGAAGCTACTGTTAGGACAGACAGAGGTGTCAAACAAAGGTATATTTTATCTCCCTGCCTGTTCAGTCTGTACAGAGAAAGTATCATAAGGAAAGCTGGAATAAGATCAGAAAAAGGACTGAAAATTGGCAGAAGATACATTAATAATTTAAGATATGCAGATGATACCATATTATTGACAGAAAACATTGAAATGCATTGAAACAATGAAACTGAAAGAAGAAAGCAGAAAAGGACTGCAGCCAAACATTAAGAACAGAAAAATGACTACAGAAGAATTGCATGACTTTAATGACAGGAATGACATTGAAATGAAATAGTGAAAGAGTTTTCATACCTTGGCTTAATCATCCATTTGAAGGAAGACTGCAGCCAAGAAATTTGAAGAAGATTGTCAGCAATGAAAGAACTAGAATAGCTCAAGTGTTAGGCTATTGCACTGGAAAGCAAGGCCAAGAGCATCCACATTATAGTATTCTCAATCATGGTGTTCAGGTGTGACAGCTGGATAGTGAAGGAAGCTAGCTGGATAGTGAAGGAAGCTGGCAGGAAAGAAGAGTGACTGACAGAAATGAACAAGTGGGTCCTAGATCAAAATCATACCAGAACTTTCCTACAGTGACTACAGGGAGAGCAACATCTGCATTGATCCAGTGACCTTGTGTTGGCAGCTGGAACATGGGCAGCAGGAGACAAGGCAGAGGCAGTGGAACCAGGGTAGCAGAATCTGAGGCAAAACAGAGTCCCAAAGCCTCAAAGAGTTCAAGTCATAGCCACAGAACCGACCAGGGTCAGGAATCTGAAGTGTATGTACCAAGGCAATCTAAGGATGCAGTCACTGAGAAGCCAAAGGTTGAGAACCAGGAAGACCAGTGGAACAGGGTTCAGGTACCTCGAGGCGGGATAATCAGGCAGGGTTGAGGAGCACTGAAACTGTGGCAAGCAAAGCTGGGTATGGCAAGGTGAGACGACAAGGCATGGCACAACATGATACAACAAAGCAAAGATGATGTTACAGCCAGGCAAGGCATGGCAGGAACCAGAGGTACCATATCAGGCAAGATGCAGGAGCTGAACCAAAGCTAGCAGGAAGACCTGCTTTGTTAGTGCAACATGGCAAGATATGGCAGGAACCAGATACTGTAAGAGTCAGGCAAGATGCAGGAGTTGAACCATAGATAGCAGGAAGGCCTGCATTACTCAGCTGAGATAGTGAGGCAGGATTTGGGCCAAGCAAGATGCAGATACTATAGCAAACAAGAGGACCTTGCTCTTAGAGAGCTCTTTTCCCAGGACTCCCAGCTGGTGCTTGGGACCATTCTCACAAATACTGAAGTATGCATTCTGGTTCTGGTCAACAACTGAAGGTCCAGAGCAGCCCAGATCCTCACACCTTGCAGTTGTTCCTGACTTAAATTCTGCCTCACTGGAATTGTGGTCACATAATTGAATTAACATCTTGAGGTCAAATCATTCAAGACTCTTACCAAATTTAGACAACGCTGCAGTGGCAGCAGGCACCACATTACACATGCAACCTCCAATTGAATGTTGCTGTGTTGTGCAACCGTAAAAGTAACTATATTGCATATTCAAAATAATGACTGGATGCACCACAGCCTAACTGTGTGTTAAATAACCCATGGCATTTATCATATAAACAACAACTCTACTTAACAATTAGCTTGTCAAGTCTTCTAGTTTCCCTTGCCCATGTCTCAGGTACCCATCTAGGAAAATATTTGTAGATCTGATTGTGTTGCATCCTTAGCATTTATTTCTCAAGTGGGGCCAAGCCATGATAGTAGTCAGGCACATAATGCTCTTTGGAAGCGTGTTGACCACTCAAGAAGGAGTACCAGAAAGCTATAGTAACAAGCAGCTGGGTCTTGACAAACATTATGGACTAGGCCAATGTCAAATCTGAGGTATAAGAACCAATTAGCTGTTTCTAAATACTGGTTACTTTTTAGTAGTTCAACAGTGAGTAGCCTAGTGAGTAGTTCTAGAAGTCTTAAAATATTCTGGAGATATGCATTGTTGCTTTCAAAACACTACTGCTGGGAGTCATCCAGTGAAACTGCTAGTAGACTTAAGATAACCAAAGGAAGTATTACGCACAGCATACAATTCTCATACAATTTGTAACAGTAGTCTTTAACTTTAACTTTAAACAGGTCTGAATATGTATGTGTATCATTTGCTGTAGTCACAATATATGTATGGATCTTCTGTGTTCAATGCATGCATTGTATAGAGGCTGATTGGGAGGAGCAATGCTAGAGCAGTGAATCACCTAGCACATAGCATTTTTTCTAGATAGGTGATTAAGGCTTTATTTTCTTGTTTTATTTTTCATGATGTGTATGTACGTCTCTCGTGGCATTCTAAAGTACCCACTGGCTTTTAGGCTATAGAGGCATTACTGGCTCTTAAGCTATAGCCACAGAATTACAGCTTTTGGGCTAAAGTTTCCTTTAGCAGGTTAAAGAGCACTGAGAAAAAAAAGGAGCAGTCTTTGGACCAAAGTAGAGTAGGTGATGGAAACCCCATGGGAAGTCAGGTAGTCATAGAGCAGGGATGACCAAACTGAGGCTTGGGAATCACATGCAGCTCTTTCAGTTTATTTTGTGGCTTGCCACCTGTGGGTGTCCATGGGCTTCCACTTGCTGCTTGCTGTCCACAAGTACCCTCTTGCATCTCCCAAACATCTGACATTTACCATATGTGGCTTTTCCATCGAGCAAGTTTGGCCAGCCCTTTCATTAGGGAAGGGAAAATAAAGCATTTGATGTTGTCTGAAGAATTGCATAGCATTTGGTGCTGTAAAAATGCTCTACTGCTTGCTTACTGTTTCTGACACATTTCAGACTTTAGTATCTGTGGCATCCTTCCCCATTCTGTGCCTTTTCATTGTGTTGCTCTGCAACTCCTGGGAATTACAAGTCCAATACATTTGGAGTGCATCAGGTTGGGGAAGCCGAATCATATTTTTAAGCTCTGGTTCTGGCATGGCATCTGGGGAGCAATCACTGGGTAGATGGGTGAGTGGATGTTTGGAAACATGAGTTCTTTCTGAACATTTCTCAGAGCTTAAGAAAATTTGGAAATACACAGTAGGAACAGTTTGTGATCAGAGTTGTAGACTTACAAGATGCGGACTAGGGTAGGAGTTAGGGGAGAAAGTGTGTGATTCCTGCAACAGGTGTCTACATTTAAAGAAAAAGTTAATGTGTGTGAAATGCAAGAAAAGTAGGCAATGCATTGCACAAATCTGTCTTTTCTGAACTTTGATGAAAAGTGCCCCCAAATTATTGAGGCTTTTCATTGCAAGCAGGAGGGTTTACAAAGCTGTTGAAAAGTATCTGTCCCAGAAGCAATACCCTGTGACCAGTATAACCATTTCAACCTGCTTGACAGTGGTTACTTGATGCTTTTATATTACTGTGTACCAGTCGTAATGGCCATATGTTACCTCCAAGGTGAGAGGCAGCATGCCTTTGAATGACAGTCAGAGGGGAACAACAGCAGTAGGGGAAGCTCTTGCCCTCATGTGTTGAGTGTGGGCTTCCCATTTGATGACTCTTTAGGAAACAGGATACTGGCTTAGGTAGGATTTTGGTCTGATCCAGCACAACTAGTTTTATGTTCTTTTTGGCCATCAGTAATGCTAGATTTCTACTATCTTAAATATGAATATTGGTTCACTCTTCCCCAGAACTTTTCAGCACTCTGATTTTGGACTTTTTATAGACTGGTAAACAAAGATAGAATTTCTACAGACTGATGGGCCAAAAGGGCACAGTTTGGTGGGAGCTGTAGATATCTTAGGTATTGCACAACTGTGGTGCGTTACTGTAAACTTGCCTGCCTGTCCAGAGAAGAATGTAGCTCATATATTCCCTCTGAAGAAAGCAAAAATTTCAGCTCTTGAATAAGTTACTAATGATTTTCTTTTATTTTCCCTTCACAGAAGATGATGTTTGTGTGTTCAAGTGTTCTGTATCAAAAGAGACGGAATGCAGCCGAGTGGGCAAGCAGTCCTTCATCATTACACTGGGATGTAATAGTGTCCTTATACAGTTTGCAACTCCAAGTGGTATGTCCCATTTATGTTTAATCTGCGCAAACATGCTGCTCAAGATGCTGGGAAACTGCAGCCTTGCTCTGGTAGATAGTGATAATGTCTTCCCATTAATGTCTGATAATAGCATTTCCTTTCTGTGAAGGATCCTTATTTATTCTCCTCAAATGAATGGCTCTTGCAGTTAGGAAAGTTGTGAAATGTTCAGCTCAAATTTATCTTCAGATTAACTGTAAATGTCTGCTGCTATCTTATCTTTACTAAACCTACTGAATGGTCCCCACCCCTGTTGATTTAGAAGGTATGGAGATGGTCCCTGGGTGAACAGGAGTTGAGAGAAAATATGCAAAATGTCTGCAAATGTTGGTTGTAGGGAGAGGGACTGTTGCAGAAAAATGGATGTATATGTAATGACTAATTTTACTTTACTTTTATTTGCCACTTTTTAGTCACAAAACATCTTATGTATAACTTAGACTGTAGATTTTAAACACACGTACTAGGGAGTAAGCTCAATTGAACGCAGTAGGACCTGCTTCTGAGTGAACATACATTATGTACTTCATTTAATATTCTTGTATAATGTGATGTTAAAACGTATACATTCAGAAAACCATGAATATATCCAAGCTTGGAGGTGAAGTTGCTGCAGTTTCACCACTTGGTAAATGGGCAATGTAGGGAGAAAGGAGATGAAAACAGTATATATCAAAATGGTGGTATACCAAAAGTTATTGTTTGTGATCTCTGTGCTTCGCACACGTGGGCTTTGTGTGCAGCGAACACTGATTAATTGTTATTAGGTGGGAGCTCAGCCCCTAGGTACACCCAGCTTAAGGGAAGGGCTTCCAGTGGGACCTCAGCTCCTCTTCAGCCGCCATCATGAACACATTGGGAAGCTCCTTCTCTACTACTAATCTCATGAACATCCTGTGGCAGGCCACCAAGTGCCATTTTGTATGACCATTGTCATGCTGAGCTACTTGAATCCATTCACCATGGACCTTATACCTCCACCTTGGACCTGTCATTTCTGGACTGAGGTTCTGATTAACCTGCCAACATGTCTGCACCCACATGTGATCTTCCACTTGGTTCTGAAGACCTTGGACTATTTTCCATCCAGGTCCTCCATGTGGCACACAGCTTTGGACTGAATCCCTGACAAGAACCAAGTAGAGCAAAAGACCCAGTTTTTGAGGTGGTCTATGGTGAGACCTCAGGACCAGTCACCGTACCACTCTTACTAACCCTTCTTGCTACAGTACGTTGTGAGTGGAAAGTACCAATGTCAGTAGCGCCCTCACCACGGCAACTTGAAATATCTACAAAGTCCAAGAGAGAGAGATGCAGAGTTTCTTTTCTTTTCCCAACCCAACTTGATTATTTTCAAGGCTCATTGAGAAGAGAAAACTCTGCTTCAGCAGATAAAGGGGGCAGATGCCTCGATTTTGTCAGGTGCCACTTTTATTCTTCTGCAGCTCTCTCTATCAAAATGGCAAACTGCCAAGCCACTATGGCCAGATACCATCTAATGATCTGGGACAGAGTAACATCTTTTTACTCCTTTCTCCCCTAAGATGCCCAAGACTTATCCAGTGAGATTAGAAATGAGGCTACTTACCTGGCTAGACAAGAGATACATACAACTAAGGTATCAGGCAGAATGTGGTGCCTGGAACATGGCTGGTGCAGTTGACCTCCATCACTTTGCCTAGCTTCAGTCCTCTGGCCTCTCTGTCAAGCAAAAACAAGAATTGAGGACGTACCTTTTGACGGTGGAGGCCTGTTCCACTGATGAGCACATGGACTTAGTTCACAAGCTTAAGCATGGAACTTGACCAGACTCTACAGCTGAAAACTTACACCTCTCTTAAGTGGAACATTTCTCTTCGGCTTCCACCACTTGCCATTGCCCCACCACCCAAACTACACTTCAGGACCCTATGACTTGCATGCGACAGGTCTGTAGACTCCAAGATGACTCTAGGAGACATCTGTGACTCTTTCGTCAGTCTGTACACTCCTCTAGTTCATATTTTCATCATTGCCTCCAGCTGTTTTTCTACTCTTGGGCTGCCATCCCCTTGGATTCATAGGTAGTTCCATCATTCTCCATGGATACTGTATCAAGTTTGAGATGCTCCTCCCCCTCACCAGTTCCATAAAGAAGACCACCTCCTCTGAAGCTCGCTCTTCTTTATTCCAAAGGGGAGCTATACAACAAACACAACCTGGAACTCCTGGTTTTTTTTCTGGGTACTTCACAGCCCCAAAGAAAGATGGAGGACTTTGCTCCATCCTTGATCTCAGGGGTGTCCATCATTACATTAAGCCTAAACAATTCAGAATGGTCTCACTCCAATCCATCCTGCCATTACTATGTAACAGCACTTGGTTCACGCCCATAGACCTTAAGGATGCTTATGTTCATACTTCTGTTGAAGCATCCTACAGGTGCTTCCTCTGTTTTCAAGTGGGGGATGAACTGTTTCAATTTCCTGTCCTGTCATTTGGCCTAGCAACTGCTCCCTGTGTTTTCACAAAAAGCATGGCTATCATTTGCACCCACCTCCATCTCAATGAGGTCCATGTATACCACTATTTAGATGACTGGCTCATTGTCACTCCATCCAAAGAAGCCTCCATACAGGCTACCAATTTCACATGTACCCTGCTCAACAAGTTCTGCCTCTACATTAATACAGCTAAAACTTGTTTTTCTCCCACGCAGTTGATCCATTTTATTGGAGCACACCTCAGCTCAGTCTCAGCAAAGGCCATCCTGTCAGCAGACAGGCTGTCTTCCCTCACCAGTGACATTCTTTGAATTATCAACAGACATTCCACCACTGCTACTCTGATCCAGTGTGTTCTCAGCCTCATGACCTCATTGATAGCTGTTGTCCTGCTGGCTTGGTTACACATGAGACCTCTCCAGCTCTGGTTCCTGGAGTCAATCAACATCAGAACCGAACCTCATTCTACCAACCTTGAGTCTCCCTTTGGATTTGTGCCTCCCTTCATTGGTGGACAGACAAGGCCAACATTTGTGGGAGTCCCCCCTTTCCCCATGGGAACCACAACTTACTGTAAACACAGATCCTCCCTGTTTGTCTGGGGAGCCCACTGTGGTTGTTTTATGATGCAAGGCAAATGGGACGCGCAAGAAGCTTTATGCCACATAAACTTCCTGGGACTTCTAGCTGTACGGAAAGCTTTACTCACCTTTCAAACCATATCAGAATAATTACAGACAACATTTATAATTGCTTATATAAACAAACAGGGTGGAACCAGATTATCCCCTTGTTCTTCTCACCACAAAGATCTGGCACTAGTGCATCAGTTGACACACCACACTCTCTGCAATCCATGTCACTGGTACTGACAACATCCTAGCTGACACTCTAAGCAGAACCTTCACACAGTGTCATGAGTGGGAACTTCATTGTGCTGCGGTACAATCCTTGTGGAACAAGTGGAACATCCCCCAGATAGACTGACCGCTTTGCTACACAGCACAACACTGTTTGCAGCTGCTTCTGTTCCAGAGCAGGCATCAGCACCAAATCAATGAGAGATACTTTCCTTCTACAGTGGAATGGGAACCTGTTCTATCTCTTCCCCCCCGTTAGCTCTGGTTCTGATGGTTCTAGCAAAGATCTACCAAGATTACACTCCATTCTCATAACACCTTGATGGCCCAGACAGCACTGGTCCCTCACCTTCTCAGTCTCTCCAGAAAACCTTTATTCACCCCCCGCCTCCTTTGACCTGATCTCATCTCTTGGGATCAAGATATAGTCTTCTCGATGTGAAAACTCTGAGACTTACTGCATGGAGGATCTGACCATGTGCTCCTCACTAATACACATGCCCCCACACTTCAACATATTCTTGATGTTTCTCTCAAGCCCTCCACACATAATTCACACAACTCTAAATGTTCAGCCTTCTCTACCTTTGCTTTTAGAGCATGGCTTTTCTCTGGACATAGCTTCTTCTGTCCATATCCTAGTATTTCTCAATTCTTTGTACAAAAAAACTCAAAACTCCTCCTATTCATGTTCATGTAGCTTCCATCTTTGCATTCCACACTTCAATTCAGTCTTTTTACATCCTCTTAGGTGGAAGTTCCTCAAAGGCCTCCTAAACCTGACCCCACTCTTTAACCAACCCACTCCTTCCTGGAGCCTCTCTGCTGTTCTACATGCACTCACTAAGAAACCATTTAAACCTATGGCTTCTTTCCTTATCTCATGGAAAATGGCCTTTTTAATAGCCATCACCTCTGCTCATTGGACCAGTGAATTCACTGTTCTTTCCATTGAGTATCCCTATTTCATCTTTCATAAAGACAAGGTGATATTCTGCCCTGATCCCACATTCCTTTCAAAAGTAGTCTCCTTTCCACATCAACTAGTCTATTGTCCTCCTGGCTTTATTTCAAGCCCTTTTCAACCCAGTATTGCTAGCCCTCCATTTCTTGGATGTTCATAGGGCTTTATCCTTTTACAAATCCATGATGTTCTTGGACTTTATCCTTTTTCAAAGTTCAATTTAGATGCCGGGAAGTACTTCCTGACAGTTAGGACTCCAAGGGTATGGAATGGGCTTCCACGGGAGGTGGTTGAAGACCCATCAGTGAGGGTGTTTAAGGATAAGCTGGGCATGCACATGGTAGGCATGTCATGAGTGGAGCCGGCTGGAGCTGAGGGTCAGACTAGATGGCCTGGGAGACCCCTTCTGACTTGCTCTGTTTCTGTGTTTCTAAATCCAGAACTCATCTCATCAGACAATCATGGAAGTTCACACCAAGGGTTTCCCAGCAACGTTCAAAGACTTTCTAAATGGATAGTTCGTGCCATATTCCTAGCATATGAATTCTCTAGCCTCCCACAGTCAGGCCCAGTCAGAGGACATTCCATCAGGGCTGAAGTGGCCTCCATGGCCTTATAGGCAGGGATTTCCACTACCAATCTATGCAGAGTGGCAACATGGTCAAATCCTTCAACCTTTATTTACCATTACCGTCTTGATGTACAAGCCAGAAAAGACTGCATCTTTGGCAGAGCTGTCCTCTCCTTTCTACCCCAATGAACACAATGAATAACATCTCCTTCCTCTGAGAAGTAAACTTGCCAGTCACCCCTATGTGTGATGCACAGAGACCATGAAGAATAAAGGCAGGTTCCTTACCTGTAACTGTTGTTCTTTGACTGGTCATCTGTGCATTCACGCATACCCCCCTCCCGCCAGGATCCCCTCTCGTGTCACTTTTGTGACATGACCTTGACATGTCTCATAATAAAATGTACTGGATGATAGTCATATTCTCAGAACTGAGGTCTTGGTAGGAGCCCCTCCCCTCACGCTGACCAGGCTCCCACTAAGTAATTAATCAGCTTTGGAATTTTGCAAAACAGCTGCATGCATGTGCACAGAGCCCATGTTTGTAAATGCGCAGGTGACCACTTGAAGAACAACAGTTACAGGTAAAAAACCCTTCCTTTACATAAATGTATGTGTAGAACATCAGATGAACAATCCATATAATAATATGATGAATTGACATCATAGCACCAACAAATATTTTATCAGAGTCCTTTTACATTTCTCCCATCTGTGGACCTTCCTCTCTCTAGCAGGACTTGGAGAACATCCATACTTTGATACAAAGAGGACAGCCATGGTAATCCTCTGCTTGCCTTGATCAAATGTGTTCCTGTTGATAGGCCATCCCCACACACTAGTCAAAAACCCAAGAAAGATTCTATGTCAAAGCAGCTTGACTGTCTCCAGGATCTTTGGCTGGTCATCTGTGCTGTCTTTCCGTAGAGCTTTCATTATTTGTTGATGTGGGGGGAATGATAGTTGGCTACTCGAGCAATACATTACAGTCTGCTTAGGAGATGAACCTATTTGGGATGTTGAAATCAGCAGCCGCTCCACCTTTAATTTCTGTATTTTATTGAGGGCTAGGAACTTGGGTTTCCAAATGAAAGCTCAGACTTGTGGGGTGCAAATTCTGCTCTAGTTGTCAAATTCTGCATGGTAAACAGAGTGATGTGGAATGGGCATAGATTGGTTTTGACACCATTAGCCCACCATGGAAAAAAGAGGTAACTTGGTACCAAATATTGATATTCCATTTATGCCAAATGGCTCCTCTTGTGTTTGATTGAAAGAAAAGGCTTTAGCACGTAAGGTTATGAATTTGATGGACTGTCATACTTGAGATGGTAGGTGGAGAATTTTATGCTTCTCCAGATTAAAATAAATAAACAAGGAGAAACTTCCCTATTGTAATCTTATGGGAGTGCATACTGTATGTCACTTGTTTTTCCCTCACATTTTTGTTTGAGTACCTGCATTCAAGAAGGGTGGAGGGATTATTGAGAGCAGGTAGGGAAATGTGAAATGGACAACAGGAGTGACTGTAACAACGGAATTTGATTTGTGAGTAGACATGAAAAGAACACAGGAAGTTGAGATGGGATGGAATACCATCCTTATACATTTTGGAGGAGGGCAAGATCTGAAGATTCAGGGGAAAGTATTTTCCTAGTTTTTCCTCTAGGAATGTTTTTGTATTTCTTCCCAAATTGAAAAAAAAGATATTTTTAAAATAAAGAATGATGAGTGAAATGGTTAAGGCAATATGTGTCTAATACAAAGACTGGATACATAATATTTCTGGAAATTTTGAAGCCATGGAAAAATGTTCTTTTAGTCCTGTCTATAAAATTTCCATGCATCATTATGTCTTTCATTCCTTACTTAAATTATGAAGGGTCTGATGTATCTCTTCCTAATAAAAACATATAGGGATGCTCCATATCATGCTCGTTTGAGTTTTGTTGTACAGAGTCCTGGTTTTAGGCTTTCCTAAATTCTGTAGCAGTCCATTTGCAAAGTTGAGACCCCATGGAGAATCAAGAGGTTATCCTTCTACAACATGTGATGGAATAATGTGTGAATTATCCTACCTGTATTACTTTAAAAATGAGGTTCTGAAACTGACTGGCACAGGATTTAATATAGTTCCCAGTTGGACTTTATCATTAGAGAGTGCTGCCTCAGCTAGAAAACTTGTGACTAATGGCATCAAAATGAACCCTCTGTAACTCTGAAGAAATTTAGTAGGCTGGTTCCTATGGTGTAAATATGGGGTTGATACCACCACTAAATGCTTTCAAAATGATCAGTAATTGAGATGTTTTATTAGGGATGAATATTTACAAATGAGAATAAAATATCACGCTTCAAATAATAGATTAAGAGAGAGCAATCCTATAGTTTCTGGGGGAGTATCATAGGCTATTACAGTGACCATGTCTGCTACAACCTTGACTGGAGTGAGGAGGCTGACCAGAACCCTCCTTTATGCCCCTCAGAACCCTTGCAACTGCTGTTGCAGGCACCACAGTGGAAGTGGAAGTTAAAGCTTTGGGCTCAGGTGAGGATGCAAATGGAAGGGGACAGAGAAGCAAGGCACCTTAGGACCTGCAGCTCCACTAGATGTGCTCAAAGGGACTTGAAAGAGGACAGCATATATGGGATCTTCAGTACTGAAATGCTCCTTTAATGAGCATAATATTGCTCTTTCCAGATTTTTAAATTAAAAATGTTTCTATTCCAGTACTTAGAGTCTTTCTTAGCTAGACAAGCTGTCTGGAACTTTTCCTTCAGATCAGATTCCCCTATATTTCTTCGAACCAGTTCCTCTCAAACAAGAGCAGGCTCTGGCTTCTAGGAAGATTCAGATATTTTGAGTACTACTTTCTGATGTTCGTTTTGAATAACCATAGCATAGGAATTTAAAATGTGTTGCATATAGGTTGTTTGCACATGAAAATATGTTTGATATGTTAAATCTACAAGTATAGTTTATTACAAAATAGTTAAAGAATTTACTGAAGTAATTTTTAAATATTTTTAAATTTTATGGAGCCAGCCAAGTTGTAAATAAAATATTTTATGTCCCTAACATAAGAAAGTCTATTTGGATCTGTACAGAGCACTGAAAAAGAAAAAGAGCATGTTTATTTTTCAGTTCTTCCCACCAAATTTGGTTTTGTTTTTGTTTTTTTTTTCCAAGTGGGAAAAAGGTTTTTTCCCAAAATTTCAAGAAATTTTATATTTGTAGCAGGCAGTAACATGAGTTTATTAAATGTGGCTGTACTGATGTCTTGACACTAATATAAGTAGGGAATTGGATTCTGTGAATTTCCTCAGGAGACAATTCAAAGCACGGAACTTTGCTTAGACCCAGATAGCCCTGGATATATTTATAAAGGCAGCCTCAACTGTGACCATTGGATGCTACATGGCCACTGGGATTCTCTTGCTTTTTTGTTAAAGCTGTGGAACGTCATGCTGCCATCAGGAGCAATTGCTCTGTTAACAGCACTCACCGATTTAAAGCTAACAGGATAGTCCCTCCCCTATTCAGAACTTGGAAATATGCAAAGCCCTCTCTGTTGCTGGAAGGTTTTACTCTACCTGCTCCAAGTCCGAATCAACCAGCCTGCTAATCAAACATTTCCTAAGTTCTGTGTTCCTTTTGGGTTGCGTCTGAACTTTGTGTTTTGAATGCTAAAGGGAAAATGCTTGGTTTCCTTTTAGATTTCTGCTCATTTTATAATATCTTGAAAAACTGCCGGGGCCACAACATGGAGCAGTCAGTTTTCAGTGAGCGCACAGAAGAATCATCTGCAGTGCAATACTTTCAGGTAGGTGGGTTTAACAGTGGGTTTGTGTGTGTGGCCATTGTGTAAACTCCTTTTGTCTACTGCATAGTAACATTATCTGCAATTTGAAGTCTAAAAAAGCTTGGGCTTGTTAAATAAGATAATTGTGCAAATTGGGATTATGTGCCTGTTTGCATTTTGTTTGTATAAAGCATGTGTTACTATTAAATGTTGCTCTTTAATGCTTTCTGATGTTAAAGCAGAGAATGAAGGAGGAGGGTTGGAATTCTGCAATACTGTAAGTGTGAATAGTGTGCTTAAAGCTTGAGTGATGAGACAATGTATCAGGCTGCCTGCTGGAATCTCTCAGAGATCATTGGTGTGCTGTAAATTAAACATCAGGCGAAATGATCAAGATGCAAGGCTTTTCTTGAAACCATAAGAACATGTCTCTTTGTAAAGCTGTACAGATTCCTAGGTGCATGCCCTAATCATTAACAGTGTAGGATGAAGTTCCTAAAACAAAGATCAGCAAAGGTCTTGTACATAATGTGTGTTTGTTTGTTTGTCTGCTTATTGAATTTGTATGCTGCCCCATAGCCCAAGGGCTCTCTGGGCAGCTCACATATCTAATATTTTCAAGTGGTTTCTCCAGCTCTGTGGAATGGAGTTCCACTGATTTAGAGATAGTTATTCACAAGCTTTATTGGTATTTGGAATAAGTACATTTCCACTGAAAATTTCCTAAATTTGTGGGACAATTCTGGTAGGGTTTTTTCCCTAAGGAAAAAAATGTGTAGCTTTAATGGAGGCTCTTTGTTTTCCCTTTCAGTTTTATGGATACTTGTCCCAGCAGCAAAATATGATGCAGGATTACGTCAGAACAGGCACATACCAGAGAGCAATCTTACAGAATCACAGTGACTTTAAAGATAAGGTAAGGAGAAGGATCTAATTACCCTTTTTGACCTGGATCATATGTAACAACAAATTCTAATTTAATTATCCATGGTTTGTTGACTCATGGGTTGTTACATATGAATACAAGCTATTTATTGTGTTGTTAACAAAGAGAACCCATGGTGTGTTGTTGGGTTGTGAACTGTGGGTTGTTCAAACCATGAGTTATTAAGTGTAAATTCAGAATTGTGGGTGGGACAAGAGTGGTCAAAACCTAGTCTTTTTACATGCCAAGTATTATGGTGCTGCAAAGGCAATTGGGATACGTTAAGGGAGAGGGTGGAGGAGGGAAATAAATCACCCAGGTACTGAGAAAACAAGCAGTGGTTTTTTCAGTCATCTGATAGACAAACCCTGGGTAGGGCAGCAACCTGTAGTTTAAAATAAACTATGAGTTTGTGTTGTGTGCAGTAAAGAAACTCAAAATTGATTTAATTATCTGGTGTTCAGTAACTGAAGGTCTAAAAGGAGTTAACAATAGAAGAGAAATGTATACTTTTTTACTCAAGCCTTAGTGTGCTGGTAAAATGGCAGTTAATGTCGCCATTAAGAGGTAAAAATGAAACCAAGCTATGTCCTTATTTATTTACTTACTTATTGATTTAAAAAAATATCCTGTCCTATATCTGATCAGGATCTCAGGACAGCTTACATTAAAAAATATAAAACAGTAACAAGACAAAATCCACAACAACACTTGAATAAAATCACAGTATAAAAATACATAGTAAAGTCATTCTAACCATTAAAATACTGGAGAAATAAAAAGGTGTTAGCCTGATGCCAAAATGAATAAAGAGTCCTCTGAGGAATGGGTTCCACAATCCTGGTGCTAACACTGAGAAGGCTAGTCCCCTAATAGCTGCTCTCCTAGCCTCTTTCAAAGAGGACTCCTGGAGAAGGACCTTGGCAGATTATCTTAATGTCCAGGCAGGTGTATATGCAAGAAAACACTCCTTCAGATATCCAGACCCTAAACTGTTTAGAGCTTTATACATCAGCATTAGCACATTAAATTGGGCCTAGACTTCATTTGGTATCCAGTGAAGGTGGTAAAGGATTGACATTGTGTGATCTTGTCTGTCAGTCCTTGTTAGCATCATGGCTGCTCTATTCTGTATCAGTTACCTTATGTAATGGTAGGATTAAAATTGGTGAATAATTGAACCAAGAATGTTTCTCAGACCTAGTGGGGTGATAGAATGTTGGCCACACCAAAGTTGATTGGTAGGGCAGGCTGCCAGGGGGGTTTGCTGCCTCAGGCAGCTCTCCAGACAATGTCAGGAGGTGCTGGTGAGCCTGAAGAAGGCATTGGTCAGGAAGAAGAGCGGCTACATGACCAGGAGTTCAAGTGGAGAGCATGTGAGGCAGAACTTGAAATCAGTCCTACTGGAGTAGCCTTGGGAGGAAGCATCTGGAGTTTGAGTGTCTGGTGATGGCAGTAGTCTGAAGACTGAGCAGCTGCTGGATCAAACTGAAGACTTCAGGAGAAATCTGGTGAACAGCATTGGACATTCCAGGTTAAAGTCAAATGAGACTAGAGAGAAGACTGCCTTTGAAGTCGTCATTGTTAGGCCCATTGTAAGTGGGGTGGAACTTGTTAGGGGGTTTAGCTTAATGTTGGTTACAGTAACACCTAATTGATTTTTTAAAAACCAGTTTACATATAGTAATATTCAAAAATATTTTTAGTTTTTTTCTCTTTTTTAATGAGATACTTTGTTTTTATTTACTTTCCTGATACCATTGACCTGTTCTTGCTCGTGTCTAATGACCTTAGGGGAAAAGGTTTATTTAAATAAAGGAATGTAGTTTAATGGTAGCAACAGAGGGTGAAGGGGAAGGATTGCCCAGTAGTGAGGAGTGATTCTCCACATTTGCGGATAGGGATGGAGTTGCCCTAATGTATAGGCAGAGACATCTCTCACTAAGTAGAGATTCTGCATGTGTGTGAATCAAACCTGCTTTTGCATTTCAAAGGAATGTAAGACTCAGGAATGAAGCAACCAGGAGCCTTAATTTACCTCCTGAAAATATGTTTGCAAGTTTCATACTTGGACCACATTTTGTTTGCTCAATCAGTTGTATTTAGCATATTTCAACAGCAGTACACATTTTATGAATTGCCACTCAGTTTACAATATTAAAAGGAGTGTTACTGCGTAAAAGCAGTTAAGGCTAATAAAAATCTGAAACAATTCACCATTCAACAAGCACAGTTTTTAAACTTAAAATGCTATTTACATTAGGGAAATGAGCATAAACTATATTGTGTAAGTTTTCCCTCCTCTGTGATTCTTGTACACTTAGCTTCAAGATTCACATCCTCTCTGCAGGGATTCTAAACCTGAATTCTAAGATATTGTTCCTGAATATCACCACCAACTTCTGGCTGAAGGAGGAACTTCAGGATGACTAGGAAAGAAATTCTGAATGACAGTAGACTAGAGTATGTCACCTGGTGAGGCTTTATCCTTTTAAAGGCTTTAAAGGCTTTAAAGGCCTGTTCTCTGATTTGATAAACAAGAGGACACTGCCACCAAAGAGGCAGTTTTGGGATTGAAGAGGGCAAACAAATTCTTAATCCAGAGAAGTACTGTGCATACAACAGTCTTACCTGGATAAAAAAATGTGAACAGTTTTGATTGTAATGCCAGATATGTGGAGCTATGGAGGTTCTGCTCATGTGCCCATCAGTAAGATTATCAGGTTTGTGGGCACAGGAGATAGGGCCTTTTCTGTGTAACTGAAATGAAGCAGTCCTTGATTCAGTAAAGAGGAGACTGACAGGTTTTAAAGGAAAACCTTTGTCAAGGAGAGACTGAACACCAGATCTGGTTTTAAACACTATGCATGTAACATTTATTCTATGATATAGAGAATCCAAAGGTATAAGAATACAAGTTCAACAATCATCAGCGACCATATCCAGAGGCTTCATTCACACTCGCATTTATCCAGTGCTCACACACAACCAATAGACCCTCCTCCAGCATTGATCAAGCATTGGCAGGGAGTGTGGGCGACCAGTTGCAGCGCTGTTCTGGCACACACGGGAGCTGGAAAGCACGGGCATTTTGTACCTTAAAGTTAATTCTATCAGCTCCGTCCAACTGGATCGAACAGTGAACTCCTCTGAGAAGAGCTGACAGAACATGCTGGTCTTTATCTTGAATGCACTCACTCTTGTCACATTCCATTGTCTCTCCAGATGGTACAGGGTGGGCTTATCTTACCTGTTATGTTCCATTCTCCAACCACTCCCGGCCTCTCTGTTTTGCTGACTCAGTCCTGGTCAGCCTATAAAGCTTTTTGATTCTCCATTTTCTTCTGGGTTTTTAAGTCTTCAGGAACCCATGCACACTGTTAACACTCCGTGGTGAAGCCCTCATAGTGAATCAGGTTCCCTCATTACCTGCTTTTAAACAAGGCCTTAAGACCTGGTTGTTTTAAATTTGCTTTTAACTGAAACTGCTATTGATTGACTGGTGTGGAGATGAAGAATTTTTATGTATGGTAAGATGGATAGAATGTTGGACTGGAACTCAAGAGATTTGGGTTCTAGTCCTCATTTGGCCAGGAACACTTGGTGACATTAGGCTAGTAATGGACTCAGCCTAACCTGACTCACAAGGTTGTTGTGGTGAAGATAAGATGAAGAGGAGATAAATTTGTAAGCAGTCTTGTGTTCCTTGCAAAACGTATTGTAATGATGGTTGCTGTTATTGTGCTTTCTTCTTACGGATATTTTTAGCTTTGCGCTGGGTTTCAAAAACATTTTCTCAACTGCCCTGAGAATGTTCGCTGCCTGAAAAGGCAGTATGCAAACACATTAAATAAGAAATACAGCTTTCAAGGATAGACAACTTTCAATCTCCAGAATTTTGCAGTTGCCAATAAAAGATGGCTTGGGTATAATTCCTAGTTACATAACAGGTAAAAGGTTATTTTGGAGGGAAGAATTTGTTTCTGTTCAATGTTGTGATGACTATGGCTGTGGTTTTGTCTCCCCACTGTTTCCTCCAGATTGTATTAGATGTTGGCTGTGGTTCTGGCATCCTATCATTTTTTGCAGCACAGGCTGGAGCAAGAAAAATCTATGCAGTAGAAGCCAGCACAATGGCTCAACATGCAGAGGTCAGTGAAGTTTCATGGGTCAGTCTCTGGCACTCCACCCTGATATGGATTACAGATGCTCAGATTTTGCAGCTAGGAAGGTTGCCACATTTCTCTGACTTGAGATGCTCTCTTTCTACAAAAAGTCAGATTTTTTTTTCAGGGAGTAGTATAAGATTTTTTGAATTCAGATTTAAAACTTATTTTAAATTGGTTGTTTGCTTTCACCCTAACCTATTTCACAGGGTGTTTGTGCCACATTGAACATTTTGTTGTTAATCCTGGGTTATTCAGCAAAGCAGATGCAAACAAACCAGGATTGAGAACAACATGATTGATGAAGGGTTATATGTGAATTGTTCAGCCCTCAACATCTCAGAGTTCCAGGGTGATTCATCATGTCTAGCAGCCAGGATTTGGGCATTCTTGAGTTTAGCAAAGCAAGTACAAACCAGAACTGATGAGCACATGGCATGCTTAATTGTTCTCACATGGTCCCACAAATGGTACATGTTGTACAAAAGTGAACCAAATCCATACCTGGTTTTATCACTGGAGATGATGGAACTGAATCAAAGGCTGAGTTAGTTTTGAATCTGCATATATTCAAAATGCTGGTGCAATACCTCCAGTTCACAGTGTCTCAGAGGTCAGCTTGTTGTAAATAGTTCATTCTAGACCAAAGGAGACCTTTAAATCCCTTTAGGCTATTTAGTAGTGTTTGCTCGACTCCTGTTAGCATCTGGGAATGCCTACAATTTGTACATTGGAAAAGGAGTTGCATTCCTTGTGCTGTTTGCTTTTATTTTAAAGGGGGATGTGGCATATTCTATACATTGCATCTTTAAATTGCCAGACTACAAATGGATTTTGTACTTTATATCTCTAGGCTCTAGGTTGTTTAAACAGGCAACCCCTGCAGTGTGGTGAGGGGCCTTACTCTCTATGTCATACCAGTAGTTTTCAGGGCCTACAATGACACTACTTTATTTATATTTATACTTTATTTATATAAATTCATATCCTGCCCTACTGGTGCTTATCAGAAAGACGAGATATACTGTCAAGTTCAACAGGGAACAGGGTGCCAAATAAGCCAAGAAAGCTTCACACGTTGGTTCGCCTCCTCAGTCTGAGCTGCTTGCTGTTTACATCCAGAATGAATTCCTTGGCTGAACAGCTTGCTGAGCCGTCCACTTGTCTCCATGTCGCCATCTCTGATGATAACCTAAGTAGCAACCTTAAATATGTGTCTTGCTACACTTAGTGTCCAACCCTTTCTGGCCAGTGGATTTTTTAAGGACCAACTAGATAGGCAATTTTAAGGACCAACGAGATGGACTTTCTAACCTTTTCTCCTTTCTGGTCAGGTTTTAGTGAAGAGTAACAACCTCACTGACCGGATTGTGGTCATTCCTGGGAAAGTGGAGGAGGTCTCACTTCCAGAGCAGGTGGACATCATTATCTCTGAGCCAATGGGTTATATGCTTTTCAATGAACGAATGCTGGAGAGTTACCTGCATGCTAAGAAGTATTTAAAGCCCAGTGGTAAGTGACTAATGCTTGTGACAGTGGTATAGTGGGGGTAGAGAAGGCAAAGAGACTTCCTTCAGAGCTGTTTCTAGCACCCTAAGGCATGCTAAGTGGTGGATTTTGGCTGCTTAAAGTAGGATAGCATTTTTATATATGTATTGTAACTATTATTTGCATAATCCTTCAAAATTAGTCTTGTGCACAAACACAATACAGGTCTCGATCATCATTATGTAATTTTTTTAAATTTCCATTCATGTTAGGTCATAATTTACAGAATTATATATTTAAAACTTCATTTTTTCCTAAGATTTGGTTTTACCCTTTTCTTACCTTACATCCTTGTGGACACTGTTAAATGAATCATTGTGACTACATAGCATATATTTCCATTCCCTAAATGTAGGTAACTCCAGTGCATAATTTGTAGTGTCTTAGCTGCTTTCAGTAGATTCCACTCTAACTCATACTGTTAGAGTGGATTGTTTGGGGTAGTATCATTAATGGTTACCCACTCCTCCTTCCTTACCAGCTCCTGGAATGACTAGATCTTGGGCAATTACATACAGATCATATTTGCATTTGTAGCTCCACATTTCCAGCATGTATCAGATCTCACATTTGGATCCATACTATTCATCTTTCTGAGGGGTCAGATATAGCTCTATGTCAGGAATGCAGTTTGGGGATGGGAATCTGTTGTGGCTTGTATACTTTGCAGAAAGAAACCACTGGCATTCTCAAAAGTTTGTGGACTTGATTTTAGGTCAGCTTGCTTCCTGACCAAGAAGTCCAGCAAGTGCAAGAGAGCCCACTTCCATCCTGGTCTTTGCATCCTTAGTCAAATACCTCCCATAGATAATTTACAGTGACTTTCCCTTATATTGATGGCCTATGATCCTGCTGTTCCTTGAGTGCACATATGGTGAGACAGAAGCTAGAAGCCCTTTGGGGAACTACTTTGGAGATAATTTGTATTCTAATCTAGTCTGTCTGCTTCTTAGTAAACTATTCCTCAGCATCTCAGCTATTTAATTTTTCAGTTCTGGCACCTGCAGCCAACTGGACTGTTTCAGATTCAGTTTTACTATAAGTTCATCTTTGTGGTCTCTCTGCATCACACACATGGGCTCTGTGCCTGGGAGGGTCCTGTTATTGGATAGTAACTCCCTAGGTAGGCATTTTGGCAGGAGCCCTGCCGCCTTCCACAAGTGGTATATAAAGACTGGTCATCCACCATTTTTCTTCAGTTCATTTTCAACCACAATCAGTGCCTCTGATTCATTCCTCCCTAGCTCTTCTCACAATCTAGATCTCTACTTTTACCTCAGACTTACATCACAAAACTTGCCCTTTCTTTCAATTTTCAACTTTTTAGAACTTTTATCTTATCCCATCTTACAATTAAAAAAAAAACTATCCATTTTACCTCATACTCTATAACTTACCATTAATGTTCTTTCCTCATACAGCTGCCTTACCTACCCCCACACCTTTACTCTCTCCCACCCTTCTTCTGCCCCCCCCCCCATGGCATTCATGACTGTGTTCTGAATGTGTGTATACCGTGGCACCAAGCAAGATGCCCTCAACTGATCAGCATTCACTACCTGGGGGAAGGCTACAGGTAGATTCTTGCCTGCATTGCCAGGCTTTTACTAAGTGGGCAAGAAAGAACTGAGCAGGCTGTCTATGCCATAAAATGTGGATGAGAGCCTTGCAGGCAGCAGATATGGTCATGCCAGGCCCATCAACATGGTGGCCAGTTCCGACTGCTCACCCTTTTTCAGCAGCTGCTGGGTCTGCACCACCTGAACAGATGAAATCTGCTTGGAAAGCCATGGAAAAAAGGCCCAAACATGGACTCAAAATGGGGACTGACAGCAGCTCGAAAATTGTGGGGGAAAAGTTGCAGAAAATCCTAAGAAGGCTTGCTGCCTTCCCCCGCACTAGACCAATGTCCAGTCCACTCCAGTGTGCATCTGGTGGAACCTGTACCAGTTACATTGCCAGTCCCGCCACCTCTACCAACAGCACTGGCCTCTGGATTGATGATTTGCCTGGAACACCACACACTCATTCTTGGAAGGTGAGGTACAAGGCTCACTTCCAATGACTGTGACTCTGTCCCCAACTAATGTGAGTGCCACTCCCCAGATTTCCATTTGAGCTGATTTCACCAGCCATTTCCAGGGGTTCAAGCTGATGATCTGGTGGAACACCCATGCCTGCTTGGAAGAGAGAAGCCCACTGGATGCCACTGACAGCTCCATAGCACTTCTGGGGAACCGAGGTCAAGGGAAATACCTTACCAGTACTGGAATCCCTCCTTGTTCCTGCAGGAAGATCCATGGCCCGCTACACTGTCCGCCCCAGTGTCAGTGCATCCGTCATGCTCCAGGCATCCATCTCCTGCCACTCAGCAGCTACCAACATGTCAACCTCCACTGCTGCATGCACCATCCTCACCATCTGGTCATTCCTCATCATCTGGAGCTTGTGATAATAACACAAGGTCTGGGATCTCCCTCTGAGGACTTGGGAAGATTCTCTGAGCAAGTTCTCCAGATGGCAACATCACTCAAGTTGGAAATGGAGCAGCTAGCCAAACCATCAGTTGACCTTATATACAATATCATCTGGATGGAGGACTCTGTGTCAGTATTCAGTTCATTCTTACCTACCCTTCTCAGTGCTATGAAGGTCTCCTGGCACTTCCTCAGCAGTGGCCAACATTGCAACACTTAGTCTATACCAAGTTGAGGAGGGGAACATCCCTTTTCTTCTGCATCATCTTTGTCTTAACTCAGAGACTGTAGAGTCAGCCCAAGGACATTCTCAGAGAGAACATTTGGTTCCTGTGGACCATGAAGGATGCCAGATAGACTTGCTGACCAGGAAAAAAAATGCAGTGATTGGGCTTGGACTTCGTATTTCCAATTACAAAGCAACACTGGGGTGCTACCAAGTGTTTCTGTGGGAAAAGATGGGGACCTTAGCACAGATTCTCCCAGAACAGCATTGAGAACTTGCTAGAATTCTCCAGTCAGAAGCCCTGAGGCTATCTAAACAACAGATCAACACTTTGCTGCATCACTTGGACTGTGATGTGAGAGCACTGACTGGTAGCATGGCAATTTGCTGCCTATCCTGTTCGGTGCCTACAAACATCCAGTCTCTAAATTACCTTTGTTAGTTTAGTTCACGAATCATCTGTCTTAGTCCAAAAGTCAAGGCCATGATGTGTGTGTCCCGACTGCCAAGTCAAGTAGGAATGTGTAAAGAATGTTTGGGAAATGTGCCAGTAAATATAGATTTTTATTAGCCTTCAAGAAAGCAAGAAACAGCAAGGTTTGTTGTCTGAAAGCAGGCTCAGTCTGATCTAATTTTAATCGTGGCTAGGAAGCAGCACAGCTGACGAATTAAGTCTGCATGTTTTTTTCATGGAACATATTCTCTGGCGAAGGCATGGACTCCTCCTTCCCTCCAAAGGGTGAATTTCCTCTGCCTCTGGCTCCTGCTCTTGAGTAACCCCAGGGGTCCTGGCTGCTCTTCCAATGGAGGCCAGTCATCCACATTCTCTATCTGTGTGTCTGGTGGTGGCTCTGGCCCACTGCAGTGACTTTCCTCATCTGAGGCATCCTCCAGGTAGAACAAGGTATTATTCCCTTCTCCATGATCACCTCCTCCACAACTTGGGGGACCATGTTTCCCAGGGTATTGCTGGTGGTATTGGTGAATTAATCTAGGAGTGTGTACAATGGAGGTATCTTCCCATGATTGCTCCTCTGGACCATATCCCTCCTAATCTACAAGATACTGTAGACAGCCACAGTATCAGTATTGAGAGTCCAGTATTTCTTCAACCTTGTATTCTTTCTCCCTGTCTATTAGTACCAGAGGAGATGGAGCTTCAGGATCACAGTCTGGATGGGTGGGTTTGATGGAACACTGGATGAACTCGGAGGGAGGCAGGTCACTCTAAACAATAAGCTAGTGGATTGATTTGTGCAGTAATAGGGTAAGGTCCAATAAATCCAGCTTTGTTTGATAAGGTGATGGTGTGTGGAGAACCAGATGTGGTCAACCACCTTAAGACCGGATCCAGCTTGTCTCTTAGCATCTTGTATGTCTGTTTTGCAAGCCCAGGTTGCTCCTTCAGAAGGGTCTGAGCAGCCTGAAATTCTTGCAATCATTGATCAGCAGCTGAGACAGATGATGGCTCAGCTTTTTGGAAAACAAGGATGGCAAATAAGGCAAAAAATGAGGCTTGCTGGGTGGAGGCATGGGGGGGAATAGTTGTATGCAAATTCAGCAAGTGGTGTTAAGTCTGCCCAGTTATCCTGCTGATCATTTGTATAGCAAATATATATTTTTCCAAAGTGGCACTGGTGCTTTCAGTCTGACCATCTTGACTGTGGGTGGTATGCTGAGGACAAATGAGCTTTACCTCTCGCTGCTGCAGTAAGTTGTGCCAAAATGAGTGCTAAATTGTGAGACTCTGGAAGACCATCAAGAAGAAAAACTTGTCTTACAAACAACTGTGTCGTGATTTTTGAAGTAGGGACACCAGGACATGTGATGAAGTGGTACCATCTTACTGAATAGGTCTCCCACCACCAAAATGATAGTCTGTCCTTTTGTCTGAGGTAAGTATGTAATCAAGTCCATAGAGACCATTTTCCATGGTCCATTGGGGGTCAGCAATGGGTATAATAGACTCACAAGTTTATTGGGGGGATTCTTTGCATGACAGCAGATTGGGCAGGTCTTTGTGTAGTGTTCTGCATCCACATGGTTGCAAAGCCACCAAAACTGACAGGTTATCTAATGAAGGGTTTTATGAAGTCCTGCTGGTCTGTTAGCATGGCATAAGAAGAGAACCTCTAGCTGATAGTGTCCTGGGGGTATGTAAATATGATCTCTGTGAAGCAAAAGTCCATCTTGCAAGGTATATACTGAATGTCCTGCATCCCCCACCCCCGGTGCTAAGAACTTGATGGCGAATATATGCA